GCCTATGCCTATAGAATTGCAGAAAGACATATAAATGGGTGTCATACCTGCTGGTATTATTACTCAACAGAAGAAAATTGTCAAAGAACATGAACAAATATTTCACAGAAAAAGAAACATAGACTTTCAACGTATGAAAAGATGCTTCCCCTGTCTCTTACTAAGAGAAAGCAAATTACACTCGCGATCAGACACTATTTTCACCTGTCAGATTAGGAAGTCCCGAGGCACACTTCTGGCATTCACTGACACAGTGGTAGAAGTACAAAATGGTGCTCTCTCTGTCGTGGGCAAGTTGGCAACACCTATCAAAATGATCCACACACACATTCAAAATGACAGAAAACACTCTTAAGATTTCAGCATTTGTTATAAGAGCAAAAGATTGGAAAAGAGCCAGCAATTTATCACAGGGAACTGAATTTATAAAGTGTTGCATATTCACCATGAAATATCATGCAGCCGTCTACGTATTCCTCTATCCTGACATAGAGAGCTCTAGGATGTTTAAGGGAAAAGGGAAGTGCAGAATAACATAGATTGTTTACTATCTCCATGTAAGAAGGGACGAAATGAGAATATATATACAGGCATATATATTTATTTATGTACATTCATTATTGCATAAATTAAAATTGGAAGGATGCACAAGAAACAAAAGTATGACTTGTAAAGAGTGGGGAGATAGAGACAGTGGTCGAAGGAAGAGCTCTTAATGCCTTTTTTAGAGTGTTTTGATTTTTGCACCACTTTAAGGCATTATGTAACAATTTTTATAGGGTCATGCAATGCATATTATTTTTTCAACAACACTTTCTGATTAACCATCCATTTCTCTAAACAATCTACATTTTTTGAAGATGCATAGTGGGCAATCATATGACACCCTTATTTTATTTTTTAGTTTCTTTTTGGGCATTTGGGTTTATTTGCAGCTGCTATAAATAGTGGTACAGTGAATGAACATCCTTGCACATAAATCTTGGTACATACCTTTTGTTTCCTTAGGAAATGGATGGGTGGAGTGCTGAGAACACTCTCCGGGTTGCAGCAGGTTCTCACGTGTGTGACGGGCTCTGTGATGGCTCCTCACTGCGTGTGATCCGGGACAGCAGCGCTGGAGCCCAGGAGCTCTTTCAGTCACTTGCTGGCCTCCACCCCGAGCACATTAGAATTACTGAAGGAGGGTTTTTTGTTGTTGTTTTTTTGTGTGTGTGAGGAGATAAGCCCGGTGCTAACATCCGCCAATCCTCCTCTTTTTTTGCTGAGGAAGACTGGCCCTGGGCTAACATCCGTGCCCATCTTCCTCCACTTTGTATGGGACGCCGCCACAGCATGGCTTGCCAGCGGTGCCTTGGTGCGCGCCCGGGATCCGAACTGGCGAACCCCAGGCCGCCTCGGCAGAGTGCGTGCACTTAACCGCTTGCTGCCACCAGGCCGGCCCCTGAAGGAGGTTTTTTCAAGTCCGATGCCTGGCCTGTGATGAAGTCTGGGCCTCAGTGGTTATTAAAGGCTCCCAAGAGGAGAGCCGCTGGTATGATGGATAGAGCAGCAGGCCTTCAGTCAGACAGACCTGGAGGAGTCATGTGGACTCAGGCACTACTCTGTTTTTAATCTTGGACATATTTCTTAGCCTCTTTGGGACCTAGTCTTCGCATCACTGAGGTGAGCGTGATACCCATATGTGGTACAGTGAGAGCATTAGACATAGAGCACAGAAACTGCCTACCAGAATTCCCGTTGCTCACTAAGTGGTAGGTACTTGCTGTTATTCAAACAAAAAAAGACAGCAAACAAAGAAAATATAGCCTAACAGAACATGACAGAGTCCCTGCATTTACCCAGATAAGATTTCATGACTAAGGAAAATGTTGAGTTTCTAGCCTTTTGGGTGAACTGTATAAGGTTGGTGTAGTATCTCTGGTTATCTCTTATTACTCAGAATTTCTAATGGGCAGTTATATGGGACTTAGATTAATATAAAGGGGAAAATCAAATATTACTTAATTGTGTCCTGCTGCGTTGACAGAAAACCTTCAAAAATGAAGTCTCTGAGGTAAAGAATTCCACAACAGTACAGAGAATTCATAACGGGGAAATTTTGAGAATTGTTGACTTGAAGTTTCCCTTTGTTATAGTTGAGAAGTGTAGGGAGTCTCTAGCTCTATAAAGGCTATTGAGACATGAATGTTTTCTTGTGGAATGGTGTAAATCCTTGCCCGGTTTTTCTATGCACACCTGTAAATGCAGCCTGTGTTATAGTGTTCATTTTATCCCACCAGGTACCATGGACTTAAATCACAAAAGTACTATTGGTGGGTGTGAGGTCAGCATATAAAAGTCTTCCCAGCTTGAAAATTGTGTGGCACATTGGCCTATGACTCTCGAATTTCCAAACAGCTTTGGAGCAAAGAGAGGAAGTGTGGACAGTTTTGTCTGTAAGCTCTTAGTAAAATAAGGAAGGAAATTTTCCCGCTTTAACTGAAACTAAAGTGACCTCTCTCTACTCTAGTAGCCAATAATGTAGAGTTTAAGAGCAGAGCTCCTGTAGCCAGGCTGCCTGGGTTCAAATCCCAGCTCTGTCTCTTATTAGCTATCTAACTGCGGGACATTATTTATCCCCTCTCTGCCTGTTTTCCCTTCAACCAAGATAATTGTACATATCTCACAGATTTCTTGTGAGACTTAAATAAGTTAACATGTGCTTAGAGTAGTACCAGGAATAACTATCCCAGCATTTGCTATTATTACTTCATTTGGATGTTAATCATTGGACTTGTAAATCACACTAGAAACCTGAATTATTTTCTTTGAACACCGTCTTCTAAACCTGGGTAAATTTAGGCAACATGACATGGTTGAGAACAGATGACACAGCTAGTTAGAGCCAGACCACGGAGCCGAGGCTCTAACTATGGGGTCAGAGGCTCTAACATGGCATGCTGTGGTGGAAAAATACTGGACCAAAAAGGATGTATAACCTATCTCCTATGTCAGAAGTGCACCTGGACCTACCAGAGGCTTCCACAGGTGATTCTGAGGACCTCAGGGGCCCATTCAGTCTTCGGGAGGAGCTGAGGTGTCAGGATGGTGCACCCAGAGAACACCATCAACAGGCCTGCTCTGCCCGAGACTCTCAGTCCATTTCATTAGCAGCCCCCAAAAAAGCGGTTTCAAACTTAGGGGACACACTCACAGAATAAAGAAGAATTTCCATAGTGTTGATAACAAAGGGAGCAATTACGCTAATAACAGAGTATATACATGAGAAGGAAACAGATGAACCCACAAGTCCTTAACAAAATTCTCACTGACTCCTTGGAGGATGCCTTTAGTAAAGAATCAGCGCATGTTTTGCTTTGTTTTGTTTTTCCAGGTTGACAGCATTTGAAGGGAAAGGCACCTGATAGTAAGTAAGAAAATACTGGTTCTGAGTTCAGAGAGACCTGGCTTTAAATGTCTGTTACTTACAAAACAGTGACACTGAGCAGAGAACTTAATTTCTCCAATGTCTATACTGTGGACTATAAGTGTACCTACCTCTCGGGGCTATTAGAGAATTAACAGGATCGCCTGCCACATAGCAGAAACTCAGAGTCCCTATTCTGACCGCATCTAAACTCTCTGTGAGGGGCTGACCCCGTGGCTTAGCGGTTAAGTGCGCGCGCTCCGCTGCTGGCAGCCCGGGTTCGATCCCGGGCGCGCACCGACGTACTGCTTCTCTGGCCATGCTGAGGCCTCGTCCCACATGCAGCAACTAGAAGGATGTGCAGCTATGACATACAACTATCTACTGGGGCTTTGGGGGAAAAAATAAATAAATAAATAAAATTTAAAAAAAAAAATAAAATAAAAAAAAATAAACTCTCTGTGAGGAAATAAGATTAGAGATAACAGTCAGCGCTTTTGTGTTGTGTAGTGTCTACTCTTCAAAAGTAGACCTGCCAACAGTGGATGCTAATGCTCTTGAGGACTTGCAGGTACCAGGCACTGCTAACTCAACTAATCCACACAACTCCAGGAGACAGGGCAAAGTAACTTCATTGTACAGATGAGGAAGTTATGGCACAGTGAGTTCAAATAGCTTGCCTGAGGTCACATAGATGCTAACACCAGACCCAGGATTCAAACCCCGACACCCAGGGTTCAGAGTCCAGGGCTTAACCCCTCCATCCTAATGCCTCTTGGTGTTAGTGCAGGTCTCATGGGGTTATTGTGAGGACCAGGAAACATGGTGCCTCTGAAATACTAGTGTACAGCTGAGCAAACACAGTACAGGTCATGCTACATGTTATGCTAACTCTGTCGGAATGTCCCAAACCAAATGATCCTGAATCTGTTGACCTTTGAAAGAGACGTAACATGGGTATCTTCATTTCACTGTTGGCTCCACTTGGAGCCAGCGCCCCAATGAAAGTATCATAACCGCTGTCTCAGGGAAAGAATTAGAACTGCGGTATCGACCATTATTACGACCAACGCTAGACGTGGTAGCTCAGGTGTCATGCTGTTTCTTCCCTTGGACTTTCAGTTAGATTTCATCAAACTAAAGTACACAAAGACAAATGTAGACTTTTGATTTTTTTTATTGTGCTTATTATGAAAAACAAAGTACCAAACTCAAGTAGCAAACGTGTTGACTTCAGGGTGTGTAAAATGGAAAGCTTCAAGGTGGTCATCTGGTTAAATGGCCCTAAGGGATGTGACTAGAAGCTGCGTGCTGTCTGTACTCAGAAGGCATGATTATTTGGGTTGCTGGAGCAGCTGATGGAGATCACGGAGAGAGTGTTGCTAAAGGACTACCCCTTGGCCCTGCCCCTGAGTAATGGCAGAATTCATTGTTTTACAGAGTAAAAGATTCTGTTTGCCCAGTGGTTTAGACAACTATTTTGCAATATTGACATAATAGAAAAATAGACATGTCAACTGAAATAACCCAAACCCAGAGAGAACGCCTAGCTAGATCCTCAGGAGACACGTTTAGGGAAAAATTAACAATGGAGAAAAGTTGTCTTCAGTGCCACCATCTGTTATGAACTCTTTCCACTGCCACAGACTGCTGTTCTCCTTAACAGGCAGAAGGCGATGATGGCCAAGTAGACCGCACTCACGAGGAGGAGGAGGAGGTAGATGTAATAGGCAGAGGTGCTGGTGAGCTGCAGCTGCAGGGTGTCTAAGAGAAGAAGTTTGATTAGTTTCACTTGTTCTTTTGAAAGCATGGGACATGTTAAAGGGAGGGTGGTCCCAGTTATCTATTTTTGATGACCTACATTGCAGTGAGACCCTGCACCACCAAAACCCAAAAGTAAACATCTACCACCACCATCACCACCACCACCACCAACAACAAGATAACTCAGAATCTAGTTTACAGGTCATGTCGATCAACAACCTCTGCTAAATTCACTTAGAATATTCCAAAATATGAAAAGCAAGGTTGCATATTTAATGCATGAGTCCAATGGGAAAGAAGTATTAGTAATAAATAGCTTTTAGTGGCCGGCCCGGTGGCGTAGCCCTATGTTTGCGCACTACACTTAGGTGGCTGGGGCTTTGCCGGTTCAGATCCTGGCGTGGACCTAAGCACTGGTCAGCAAGCTGTGCTGAGACAGCGTCCCACATGGAGCAACTAGAAGGGTGTACACGTGTGATATACAACTATCTACTGGGGCTTTGAGGAGGAAAAAAAGGAAGATTGGCAACAGATGTTTGCTCAGGGCCAATCTTCCTCAAACAAACAAAAAAGAAGCACTCATGTGTAGGAAAAATATTCAGTTGAAGAAATGAGTCCTGAATATGAGATATAACTTTAAATAAATAAATAAACAGCTTTTAGCGTTTCTTTACCCCCACCATGTCCCTAAGTGATAATAACTAATACTTATTAACAACAAACCAAATGCCAAACACCTTTCTGAGAGCTTTGCTTGCAATTCTTTATCTTATTTAATTTTTACAATAACCTGTGAGATTATTATTTTCATTCCCATTTTTCAAATAAACTGAGGAGAGAGAGAAGTAATTTGCCTGATGTCATGCATTTAGTAAGTACCAGAAACTAGATTTTCATCCCAGCACCATGACTTGAAAGAACACATTGTTAGGTACTCTGTAATTCTACATCTCCAAGTGCAATAAATACCCCAGACATCAAAATGTTAAGCATAAATATAAAGTTGAATTCTGATTCAGAAGATTCTGAGCCATGACACACTATGCATGAAATGAGATTCCTATAAAGGGTACAATCCATGGAAATTTCATGGTGTTCACAGTGGGGTGAGTGAGAGGTTTTAGTGAAAAGGGCATTCTATAAAACGGAAGAGTGGTTAATCCAAATTCTCTGAACCTTTAGGAAGTCATGGCTGAATCACCTCTCCTTCCCGAATGTCCCTCACTGTGACTATGATGTTAGAGGATATCTGCACTTAATACCCTTTGAAGTTTTGCAGGAAATGTATGATGTCAAGAAATAATGACAATTATGGTGAGCCAGATCAGCTATTTAATGAACCACAAGGCTGTGTTTCTTCCTGTGGAAATTTCACTTTTACGTGTTTTATGTTCATAGAGTCAAAACTCCAGAATCGTTAGCTTTTGTTATGGAAAGGGATCTCAGAGGTGATGTGCTCATAACTCCTCGCCCTTGGTCAGGTAAGGTGTTAGCTAAGGTCCAGAGCCCCCTCGATATCGGAAATGGAGGAAAGATCAGCAGAGCTGGAGCCAACGCTTCTAGTCACTTTCTCTGTACATATCTAGGGAGAAAAGGCCAGAAACTAGTACTGATTCTGTGACAACCAAATGAGACACCCTATGCTAGACATTCCACATAGGTGACTTTATCTCTTCAATAAGTGATTAGAAGTAATTATTCTTGGTTGACAGATGAGGAAATAGTTGCTCAGAAAATGTAAGTAATTTTCCTATATTGATGCAGCTAATCATTAAAAGAACTGGGGTTCAAGTCCAGTCTGTAATACTGTGAAGCTCATTCCCTTACCCACCCCGCCCCCACCATGTGTTCATCGTGTCTCAAGGCCTTGGTTTTGGGGTTTCTTGCTACAAGACTATATTTTAGAGGAAGAAGATAAAACAGAGTAAGTGTATGAACTCTTGATTCAGATGGCCAGGTTGAAACCCAGATCTACCTGTGTGGCATGGTGTAAGTGACTTAATTAATTTTAACTCATTGTTCTCACCTATAAAATGGTGAAAAAATATTGTACCACCTCAGAGGAGTATTATGAGAATTAAACAAGAAAATGTATGCAAAACCCAGTGTAATGCCTTCTGTATAGGAAGTTCTCAGGACACATAAGTTCACATTATTAGCTACTAGCAAGGACTAAAGACTTAGAAAAAGAACCTGGAAGCACCTTGATGTCATATGTTCCTCAGTCATTAGAAACTAAGCCACAAAAATGAATGAAGCCCATTGTTGAAACAATCCAGAGTCCACCACTGCACTGTTTAATTTACAGTCATTTCATCCAAAACCCAGCATTACTCTGTTAAGACAACTCAGGAAATGATGGATTTATTTCAAATACATTTAGTTTACTCTTCAACATGCAGCCATTCTAGTTTTACTACCTTAAGTCAGAGAAGTCTAAAAGTTCAGTTGATCAGGAAGAAAAAATTCCTGTAGCATGACATGAAGGCAAACATAGACAAAAACTTACTGCTTTCATCTCTCAGACAAGCTTTTGTAGAATTCATAGCAGCGACCTCTAGAAGAAATAAGGGAAAGTATTAGTCAATTGTTCACGCCTGTTATTGTACAGTTGTTATGTATGTGTATATATACACACACACATACATATACACATATATAAAATCTGTCAACAGAGAGACAGGAGAGATACTCATTAAAAATATGAGCCCCACCATTCCAAGAATAAATTTTCTTATCTACTATGAACCAGGGAGTTCAAAAGGTAATTTGATCAGGAGGGAAAAATTTCTATTGCATGAAATGAAGGCAAGCATGTAAAAAAACTTACCACTTTGCTCTGTTGGGGAAGCTGTTTTAGAATCAGCAACAGTGACCTCTGGAAGAAATGAGACCAAGTATTAGTCAGTTGTCTATGCCCATTATTTAACAGTCAGTATATATATATATATAATATGCTGACAGACAGGAGAGACAGTCACTAAAAATATGAAAATTATGAGTCTGCAATTCTAGGAATAAGTGGTCTTTTCTAATTTAAGCCTGAATATGTTAAAGTTTAAGTTGATCAGGAAGGAAAAAAAGCCTGTAGCATGACAGGAAAGCAAACGTATGCAATCACTTATTGCTTTCATCTTTTAGAAAAGCCTTTGTAGAATCAGTAGTAGTGACAGTTGAGGTGACAACTAGAAGAAATGAGAGTAAGTATTAGTCAACTATTCATGCCCACTATTCACCAGTGTGCATATGTGTTTATATGAGTATGCGCGCATGCACACACACAGACACAATCCACTGAGAGAGACCGTCCTTAAAATTATGGGTCCTACAATTCTAGGAATAGTTCATCTGATTCTATGTAATTCAGTAGATCTAATTCCTGTATTGTGTTTCTGCTCATGAAGATATTGACCTTCATGAAGAATTTTTTTTTCTTTATGACAACTGGAGGGTAATATCCAAGACTCTCTTGTTTGCCTTCTGTATTCACAGCTCCTAGCACAGTGCCTGCCACAAAGGAGGTGTTGGAGAAATACTTGTCGCATGGAAAAATAAACAGAAAATATAGCTACTCTGCAATCGTCAGAACACACTGCTGACATGAAGAGTTGCTGCCAAAGTCAATTCATCAACTCTCAGAATCCACAACAGAATCTCACATTTGAAAGAATCTGGTTTAGGCAAATTTCCCATCTAAGCAAAGGAAAGTAGGCAGAACTTTCCAAAGCATGCATATCCCAATATCCCCAATTCGTGCACATGATTTTCTGGAGTTGTGGTGTTTGTGGATGTGACAACAATATGAATAAAAGCTAAGAGTATTGAGTGATTATTACTGTGCCAGGCACTATGTTAAATGCTTCACATGCGTTATCTTCTTTAATGCTCCAGTCACACTGAAGTGAAATGTTTTGGAGTACTCCTTGTTCAAATGAGGAAATAAGATTGGGAGTATAAGTAGCTTGTAGAGAGTCACACCAGTGAAGGCAAAGGATACATTCAAAGGATGATTGTGGGGGAATCAGTGAGGTAGAGCATGTGGAAACTACTTTGTAAAAATAATCCATACAAATAGAAAATAATCTATGGAGAAATAACACAATACCATTGTTGTGGACACTAAAAATATCTTCTCTTCCAGATAACTTAATTATTCTTAGTAAATGAACTTTTCGTTACTACAAATCACATTTATAGTTTATGAATATAAAAAACATGAGGTGAGAGTTATGTAAAATATAAAAGAAAAAGATGGAAAACATACAAAGACAAAAAAATTTTTAAATATATTTGTTGGATGGAGGAAAAAAGCGTTGAAATGATCGTTTTGGTTTATACTTTTTCTAGTAGTTGTGTTCTTGTCCATATGGATATGGTTCTGGTATGCAATTTTATGCACTCATGAAACATTTTTTTTTGATGACTTTAAAACTGGGTTTGAGGTATAGGATTTGTAATAAATTCCAAGAATGAAAATGTTAGCATAATGTTATGTTATCACCTGTTGTGGAAAGGGATCTCAAAGGTGATGTGCTCAAAATTCCTTTCCCTTGGTCAGGTAAGGTGTTAGCGGTGGTCCAGAGCCCCCTCAATATCAGAAATGGAGGAAAGATCAGCAAGGCTCAAGCCAATGCTTCTCGTCAATCTCTTTGTACATATGTAGGGAGAAAGCACCACACACTAGGACTTATTCTGTGCCAGCTAAATGAGAAACCCTCTGCTAGACATGCCACATGGGTCACCTTCTCCTCAGTAACTGACTTAGGTGTTATTATCCTGTATGGCAGATGTGGAAATGGTTGCTTAGAAAATGTGAGTAATTTTCTTATACTGATGCAAATAATCATTAAAAGTACTGGGGTTCAATCCAGTCTGTGATACTGTGAAGCCTATGCACTGACCCACCCCCCACCATGTGGCCATCATGTCTCAGGGCTTTGCTTTGGGGTTTCTTACTCTGGGACTATATTTTGGAGGAAGAAAAGAGAACTGAGTAAGTGATCTCTTGATTCAGATGGTCATGTTGAAACCCCAGATCTAGCTGTGTGGCGTGGTTTAAGGAACTTAATCTTAACTCATTGTCCTCATCTATACAATGGGGAAAAAATATTGTACCAACTCATAGAAGCATTACAAAAATTAAACAAGGAAATGCATGCAAAACAAAGCACAATGTCTTCTGTACAGGAAGCTCTCATGTTATTAGCTGCTAGCAAGGACCAAAGACTTAAAAAACATCTAGAGGCACCTTGATATCAGGTATTCCTCAGTCACTAGAAACAAGCCACACATATTAATGAAGTCCAGTCTTGAAATAATTCAGAGCCTGTTACTGCACCCTCTAGTTTACAGTCATGTAAGTCCCAAACCAGCATTTACTGTGTTACTATTACTCCTACGAAATGGTGGGTTGATTTGAAATAACACTCAATCTATCTGCAGCATCCAGCCATTCTAGTTTTTCTTTTTTAAGGCAAGGAAGTACAAAAGTTAACTTCATCCAGAGGAAAAAAGTTCTATAGCATGACATAAGGGCAAAATATCCAAAGCTTGACGGCTTTCATCCTTTAGATAAGCTTTTGTAGAATTAATGGCAGGGATCTCTAGAAGAAATGAGAGCAAAATTGACTCAACTTTTGGTGCCTATTAGTTGATGGTTGATATACATGTATATATGTTTGTGTGTTTATATATGTATAAAATATATATATTTTATACATATATAAACATATATGTATATAAAATCTGCCAAGAGAGAGTCAGAAGAGATAGTCGTTAAAAATATGTGCCCTAGAATTTCAGGAATAGTCGGTCCTGTCTACTATAAACCAGGGAAGTTCAAAAGGTAATTTGATCAAGAGGGACAAAAATGCCATAGCATGACATGAGGGCAAGCATATACGAAAACTTACCACTTTACTCTGTTGGGGAGGCTTTTGTGGAGGCTATAGCAGAGAACTCTAGAAGATGAGAGGTATTATTAGGCAATTGTCCATGCCCATTATTTGACAGTGTGTGTATATGTTAGTAATATATATATGTTTATAGAAGCACATATGTATATAATCTGCTGACAGACAGGAGAGAGAGTCACTAAAAATATAAAAATTATGAGACTGCAATTCCAAAAATAACTGGTCTTTTCTACGTTAAACCTGAGAAGTTCAAAGGTTAAGTTGTTCAGGAGGGAAAAAAAGCCTACAGCATGACATAGAGGCAAACACAGACAATAACTTACTGCTTTTCTCTTTCGGATAAGCCATTGAGGAATCAGTAGGAGCGGCAATTGAGGAGACAACTAGAAGAAATGGGAGCAAGTATTAGTCAATTATTCATGCCCATTTTTTGACCTTTTCCAAATCTGTTTATATGAGTTCGTATGCACACACACACACACACACACACACACACATGCATAATGCACTGACAGAGAGACCGTCCTTAAAAATATGAGCTCTATGATTCAAAGAATAGTTCATCTGATTCTATGTAATTCAGTAGATCAAATTAATGTATTGTGTTTCTGCACATGAAGATGTTGACCTTCATGAAGAATACACTTTCTCTTCTTTATCACAACTGAACAGTAATATTGAAGACTATTTGCTTTCCTTCTGTATTCACAGCTCCTAGCACAGTGCCTAATACAAAAGAGGTGTTGGAAAAACACTTGTCAAAAGGAAAAACAAGCACAAAGTGTGGTGACTTGATAGTCTTCAGCACACGCTGCTGACATGAAGAGTTGCTCCCAAAATCAATTCTTCAAATCTTAGAATCCACGAAAGAATCTCACGTTTGAAGAAGTCTGGTTTCGGCAAATTTCCCATGAGAGCAACGGAATCAAGCATACCTTTCCAAAGCATGCATATCCTAATATCCCCAACTCCCGCACGTGATTTTCAGGAGCTGTGGTGTTTGTGGACGTGACAACAATATGAATAAAAGCCAAAAGCTATTGAGTGATTATTACTGTGCCAGGAACGATGTTAAACGCTTCACGTGTATTATCTCGTTTAATGCTCCAGTCACACTGAGGTGAGTTGTAGTTTGAGGACTCAGTGTTATACACAAGAAAATAAGGTTGGGAGAATAAGTAAGCTGCCGAGAGTCATACCAGTGACGGCAGAACCAGCATTCAAAGGATCATTGTGGCAGATTCAGTGAGATAGAACACGTGGAAAGTACTTTGTAAAAATAATTCATAGAAACAGAAAATAATTTATAGAAAAACACCATAATTCCACCGTTGTGGACACTAAGAACATCTCCCCTTCCAGATGTATTAAATATTCTCAGCAAATGACCTTTTCATTACAGGAGCTCCGCATTTCAGTGCAGTTCTTCCCAAAGATAGAAAGATAGGCCAAGTCACAATTATATCTCTCTGAACATATACAACTGGAGGTGAGACTTATCTACAGTATAAAGTAAAAGAAGGCAAATATGCAAAGATAAAAAGTCTTTTAAAGAAAATTGACTGTTGGATGGAGGAAAACAGAGTCCAAACCATTGTTTTGTTTTACCTTTTTTCTGCTACATGTGTTCTTGCTCATATGGATATGGTTTTTGTATGAAATTTTATGCACTCAATGAGATATTTTTTTGGTGGCTCTAAAAGTGGGTTTGAGGTATAGAATTTGGAATAATTTCCAAGAATTAAAATGGTAGCATAGTCATGTTTAGATGTGAAAATGTCTTCAAGAACTGACACATGTATTAGCAGTATGTTTCTTTTCCTTAACAGTGACTTATTCATTAAAAGACAAATCAAAATCTCTTATTACTAAGCATTGATTGAAGTAAAAAAAATAAAGTAACAATTTTTCGTAATGAAATCTGTGTATGTATACTAAGTTCTCTTTCCCAAACAAGGTTTGTCAAAAACTAGCTTTACCTTCTTCAAAAACACTTCCTTGATTTGTGCTTCCAAGTTATATTCTTAGCTTTTGTCAAAAACAAAAAACTTCCGAGAAACAGCATTAGAAATTTGGTGTAGAACAGCATTAAGAGAAATGTCTTCATTAGCTTTGTTGCCCAGAGACGACCATGGGCGACATTTGTTTCAGAACTTAGGTGCCAAGCACAGCATATTATGAACTGAAACTTCTCTCCGATAAGCATCATCATGGAAATTAACACGTCTTGTTTTTCCCGGATCACTAGAAAAATGAAAACCTAATAGTACACTTCAGCCCTGTGGTTTTACTAAACTTGTGCTTTCCCTGTTTGCTTCCCCTCTTAGCTGTAGAAATAGTAAATTACGGCTGTTGTTTTAATCCTACATCAGAGAGATTCAAGAAAGGTTATTAAAAAATAAAATAAATACATAAATAAAAGAATCCATGTTATGTTTTCAAAAGCAAGTGTTTTCACTGACATAATTTCATTTGCTCTTCATCCCAGCCCCGGGAGAAAGCCAAGGCAGGTGTTCGAGCCTGATGTGATCCCTGAAGAAACTAAGGATCTGAGGAGATAAAGACTGACTTCAGAAATTTGGACTGGTGCAAAGCAAAGGTCTTCGCACATTTTGTTCTGTGCTTGTTCCCCACTGCTTCAAAAGGGCTTGTGAACCACAGAGCAAAGTACAAACTGACTCCTTCTTATTTATGGGTGCTCTGGGGCCTCTGGTCTGTTTTGTTCATTCTCAGGACTTGAAGTCCTGAGTCTAGAGAGTTACTGGACCATGGCGGGGACCAAGGCACATTCAGCCCTCTGCCCACACTGTCTAAATATGTGCAGCATCAGCATCAAAGAGATTCCTTTGTGACATCTTGCCTGAATCACGACTGACCCTGAGTGATTAGGAAAAGAATGTATTCTCTTACAATAGGGCATCCTCCTTGGGACAGTAATCCATCCCAGTGTGCTCATCCACACATCCCTTCCAGGCCTGGCACAGGCCAGTACTGCAGTAAATGTTTGTTAAGCAGCATGTACCAACTGCAAGAAATACATTCAGTATGTAGACTGAAAGTATGTGTGTACACATTAGCCTCACCCACTCTTAATTATGAAATTTCATCTTTCGGTAGTATATAAAACACAAATCTGGAAAAGAAAACCTAAGACCATAGTAAAAGTGCAGTGGCCTAATTATTCAATTTTTTCTTGAACTGCAATCTGGCTCTCTCAAATGAACACCATTTTGTCACCTAAACACATTGTTTTGGGGTTAATACTTTGTCTATAGCAAGATGAATGTGACAGTGAGTTTGCTTGCTGAGTAGAACATGCCTGAAAGACATGTTATTGTTCTTATTTCCTGATCAAGCAAGACCACCAAAAGTGAAATCTCTTTTTGAGCATTTCTTGTGTGCTAAGTTGCTAGGTGCTTTTACATATCCTGTTTCATTTAAACCATACAACAACCCTAAAAAACATCATTGTGACCTTAGTATTGTGGAGGATGAATCTCAGTTTGAGAAAAGTTAAGTAAATTTTTCTTTTTCTTTTTCTTTTTTATGTTCCAAAGCCGATCCTACTTTAATTTAATGGGGAAATAGAGGAACGTTTTTGCTACCAATAAGTGAAACAACATTTAAGAAAGATTTATATTTGTTCGTTTTTCATTAGTACTTGACATAAATGGCGGGGTTTCCCTTTGAAAAAAAAAGTGTTCTGGGAGGTTATATTTATATATACATACCTTTGTTCACTGAAGGAAAAAGAATCTCTTGGTCAACACCTCCTCTGTTATTCTTGTGTTGGACGATACATCTGTGTTCTTTATCCATTGACTTTCCAGTCACGGTCAGCCAGCTGAATTTCATGTATGTGTTATGAGTCTTCATGGTTCTTCCCTGCTGGGATTCCAGAATTGTATTGCCGTTCTTTTCTTTCCAATATACCCTTATAACATCTGGGAAGAAATTCTCAAGAAGACAAAGATATGTTCCAGCATTATGGAGGTTTATTTCAGCAATTGAAGGAAGAAAAACGGTAGGCTTGGGGGAAACGTCTTCAGGAAGGCTTCTATCTGTGGGGGAGAATGGAACCACAATCAAAATAATCATTAGAGAAGCATGAACAGTGTGTGGTCTAGAACAACCTAGCACATAGTAAATGGAAGAAAAGCTACCATTGAATTAGTGCTTACCACGGACTTTCATCCACTGTATGTTGTGAGGTATTTATTGGTCTTAATTTCGATGGGAAGAGAGGTTCCAGAGGTTGCCCAGAGTCACAACTGTTAAGTGGCAGAGCATGGATTGAAACTTGGGGTTTGTTCCTTCTCCACAAGCTAAGATCAGGTGTGACTTTTTTGTGTGTGTGTGAGGAACATCGGCCCTGAGCTAACATCTGCCATTCCTCCTCTTTTTTGCTGAGGAAGACTGGCCCTGGGCTAACATCCATGCCCATCTTCCTCCACTTTATATGGGACGCCACCACAGCAAGGCTTGACAAGCGGTGCGTCAGTGCACGCTGGGGATGGAACCGGCAAACCCTGGGCTGCCTCAGCGAGCGTGTGCAGCTAACTGCTTGCGCCACCGGGCCAGCCCCCACGTATGACTTTTAACTGTCCCATTTCAAGGCATCTAATATTCATGAACACATGTATTTTTTAAATCTCTTTCGTTCTATCATAGTGGAGTATGTTTGCAAGGTGGGTGGGTAGATGGTGGAGATGGGAGAGGACATCAGGTAACTTTGATGATCTCTCTACACGTGAGAATGTTTGGTCCTTTTTAAAGTACTTCTCTTTCTCATGCCATGAATTTTGTACCTTATGCTCTTTTTAGCCAAATAACACATTCTCGTGTTCTGCAACTCCGTGAAACCTCACTCTTCATTTAACTGTTTCTTGAATGAACTATATTTATCTTATTTTCCATAAAAATAAATATCAGGAGGAAGTTTTTCATTTTTTTTAAAACAATGCACAGTCACCTATTAATGGCAATCCATTTCCATTGTACTCGACAATCAAGTTTACCTTTTAGCTCAAATATGGATCCCATGCACAGTTCTGAGGTAATGGAGTTCTCCTACTTGACGTCAAATTTTATATGACATCTCAATTCCACATCTGAACCACCTCAGGTTTTCGAGAAGGGCAGTATTAAAGCTGCACCTCCAAATTATTTACAAAGGTTTTAATTTAGCAGCAAAATAGCAATATTTCTAAAACTTCCATTAAAAAATTTCTTGATTATTTTCAGAAATGTTACTACATTAATCTTATCAGGTAAAGGCACTTATCAGAATTTTGTTTCACTGTAGGTAATGTTCACCAAAAGCAAATTTTATTTTGGAATTTCATTTGAAGATTAAGCCTGATGAAGAGTACACCATATTTTCTATCTCAATTTCTCCCCCAAAATTTGAATCTACCCTATAAGGCTGCTGAAGTGTTTTAGAGCTCCACTATTTTCTTTATTTCACCTGCTAAATAAAGTATATATATAACAGGGGTAATGTTAAATGTCACAGTTCCAGAGTCTCTTGCAGACATAATGTCAGAATATAAAACAAAACACCATAGTTTACAAAGGCATGTCACCTGAATGCTGGAATGTTAGTTGATTATATATTTATTGTTAATCTAACGATGCAAATTATAAATATTAAAACTCTTTTCAATTTGCTTTCCAACTGACACACAAATGCTTTACTAATATTCGCTTTGGGCTAGTTAGATGTTAAATTATTCAATGGACAATTTCTTAAGAAAAGAAGAATTAGATTTCTTACTTGAGAAGAACAGAAAAAAAATTCTTGAGAAATTCTGCCTGTATAGCAAAGCTTCTGATTTTTATAGTAAATTAGTAAGCAAACAATACTGAGTCTTTTACTCATGCTGTAAATATAATTAGGTCATAATGTGCTTAGTTTAATTTTATACATCTTCCTTTTAGTGTAAATGGTATTTCGTTGATTATAATAGTAAGACAGTATATTTCTCCAACATTAAACTTTGTTTGTAATTTTAAAAGTACGTTATATAAAACAAGATTAATTTTTCAATCATATATTTACACAATTTTAATCTTTAGTCAATATATTAAAGAATCTAATTTTCATCTTAGGAACTTCTGTTTGTTCATAGGAGTGCTACTGATTTATTATAGTAAAGAAATTGAAAATCAAATGATGAATTGAAAAGTTTCTGTATGATAACACACTATTCTTGCCTCCTGTCCATTTTCCTTGGCGAGATTCTTTTTTTTTTTTTTTTTAATAATTTTATTTTATTTATTTATTTTCCCCC